CAGAGCAGCCTGAATAGATTTCTCTACCTGTGCAAGTGGGTGGGTGCATGCGGGGGGACGGGCTGTTGATGTTTCTTTTAATGAGATTAATCTGCAGTTTGGTCAGGTCCGCTGTTATCTGCGAGTGGGTGTCTGTGTAGGCTTATGCTCGAAAGCCTCATTGACAAGTGCCTCCCCAGAACACAGAGACACACCAGCACGATTCCCCACAAAGAGAGCTGCACAAAATTGCAAGGGGAAAAAAAAAATAAAAATGGCTTGTGTTCCATTTGATCAGAAACATTTGATTTAGTTCCTTGCCTGGAGCATCCCTGAATTACGTGGCAGTGAGGAATGACGTGGGATTGAAAAACACTGCATTTCAGCTTTTGAATCTTCACATCTACTGTCTCTGCCCTGAAAATGTTTTCTAATAACATTCTCTGGCTCTCCAGAAGATGTGCAGAGGTTGCTCTGTGTTCGGTGGCAGTTGGGAACAGACACCGATTGCCTGTCTGCTCTGCTTCACTCTGGAGGTCCTGGATTCAAAGTCCGCCAATGTCTGACCATATGGTCCTGCTGTGTAGAAGTAGGGTTCATTATTGCATCTCAAACTTTTTTTCTTTCTAATTTTTTATATGCTTTAATTTTTTTTTTTGTTCCTGGGCTACAGACTGGGATCTAAATAACACACTGAGCTAATAAAGACTAATGATTGGGGTACGCCTGGGAAATGTGTGGCAGCAGTGAATTGGCCTCTGAGCTCCAGAGCTCTTGCTCCTGGTAAATGACTCTTCTTCCTCCCTGTCATCAGGAATTGAATTCCAGTTACGGTTCTCTGGGGAGCTGAGACTGAAATCACAGCCTGCAGTGCTGGATGGTGCCTGAATTCATGTCCATGAACTTGAGTCATGTGTGCGCGACTGACTCTGGTGCAGCTCTCTCCTCTTTCCTCCTCTGTCCACACTAATGCTAGTGGCACTCTGAGGTGCTTCTCCCTTTAGTAAATCAGGCCGCAAAAGACTTGAAGTCCTCAGATTTAAAACATGTTCTACTTTCAAAACCTCTTCTATGTTTGCTTTCTCCCTCCCCCCCGCAACGTTTCTTTTGCAACCCAGAGGGTTCCTGTTCGATAAGAAACTCAAATTGTGGAGATGAATTTGATCCAGAATTTGGGGCGAGGAGAATGCCATGTGTTGAAAGGCTCGTGCAGCAAGTGCTGGAGCTGCCAGCCGGGGTGGGGGTGTAGGGGTGGGCATGGAGGCCTCAGGAGGATTACCAGGGGGGAGGCAGACTTGATAACAGCATCCAGAATTGGCCTCGCAAATGATCTCACTGGAGGAGGAAGCTCTCCAAACTGGAGAAGGCAGCTGCCATATCATCAGTGCAAGAGCAGAGCCCAGCTGTCCATGGAGCATCCCACCTGCAGCTTCTCCTCCTTCCAGCACTGAGGGCGAAGGCTTCAAACCTTTGGACTTGTCAGAGCTGTGAAGAAGGGGTAACCCAGCGAGCCTTAAGCTGGTTGTGTGGGGTATCAGATGCAGCTTAAGGAGAGCTGAGTGCCCAGTTGCCAGCGTGGCTGGAGGTCCCCGTGGCACACAGACCTGGCCCCCATGACAGGCTGGTGGGGACATTGCTCTACAGCTTGCACTGATGCTCGGGTCAGACCAAGCTGATATGGCCATTCTGCTGGCCCTGGTGGTAAAGAGTAGCCAGACAGTGATCACCTGCTGGATAATTTGCTATTTGTTGGATTCCAGGACTACTGTAAAAATTGCTTTCAAGTTAAAAAAAAAAAAAGTTGAAAGAAGAGAGGATCTTGTTAAATCTTCTGCTACAGTAGCACTTGTTTCATATATTGAAAGGATGTCATTTATTTAAGCAGAGTGTCCAAACCTTGTAATTATAGCTCACAAATGAGAGAAACCATAGTAGCACTTGTTTTATATATTGAAAGTGATGTCATTTATTTAAGCAGAGTATCCAAACCCTGTAATTATAGCTCACAAATGAGAGAAACCAAAAATGATTGTGGACTTGTATCTAGTAAAGCAAGTGCTCCATGGCCAGGAGGGAGTGAGTGTCTGAGAAATGAGTTGGTTGAGGCAAAGAGGTTTCATCTGGCCTGAGGCTGAGGAGGCCATTCGGGGAGGAATAAGCCAGCAGGTGAAAGGAGCATCACTGCAGCCTCTCTTCACAACCCCAGTTGTAAGATTTGCCTGTTTTCTTCTTTAATTTTTGAAAGTCACTTATCTGAAACAAATTCCCTCTGGGGCTTTGACACATCAGCCTTGAAACTGGAGAGGAGCTTTGCTTTAAATCAGCAAGAAGTGTCCCAGAACACAGAGACACACCAGCACGATTCCCCACAAAGAGAGCTGCACAAAATTGCAAGGGGAAAAAAAAAATAAAAATGGCTTGTGTTCCATTTGATCAGAAACATTTGATTTAGTTCCTTGCCTGGAGCATCCCTGAATTACGTGGCAGTGAGGAATGACGTGGGATTGAAAAACACTGCATTTCAGCTTTTGAATCTTCACATCTACTGTCTCTGCCCTGAAAATGTTTTCTAATAACATTCTCTGGCTCTCCAGAAGATGTGCAGAGGTTGCTCTGTGTTCGGTGGCAGTTGGGAACAGACACCGATTGCCTGTCTGCTCTGCTTCACTCTGGAGGTCCTGGATTCAAAGTCCGCCAATGTCTGACCATATGGTCCTGCTGTGTAGAAGTAGGGTTCATTATTGCATCTCAAACTTTTTTTCTTTCTAATTTTTTATATGCTTTAATTTTTTTTTTTGTTCCTGGGCTACAGACTGGGATCTAAATAACACACTGAGCTAATAAAGACTAATGATTGGGGTACGCCTGGGAAATGTGTGGCAGCAGTGAATTGGCCTCTGAGCTCCAGAGCTCTTGCTCCTGGTAAATGACTCTTCTTCCTCCCTGTCATCAGGAATTGAATTCCAGTTACGGTTCTCTGGGGAGCTGAGACTGAAATCACAGCCTGCAGTGCTGGATGGTGCCTGAATTCATGTCCATGAACTTGAGTCATGTGTGCGCGACTGACTCTGGTGCAGCTCTCTCCTCTTTCCTCCTCTGTCCACACTAATGCTAGTGGCACTCTGAGGTGCTTCTCCCTTTAGTAAATCAGGCCGCAAAAGACTTGAAGTCCTCAGATTTAAAACATGTTCTACTTTCAAAACCTCTTCTATGTTTGCTTTCTCCCTCCCCCCCGCAACGTTTCTTTTGCAACCCAGAGGGTTCCTGTTCGATAAGAAACTCAAATTGTGGAGATGAATTTGATCCAGAATTTGGGGCGAGGAGAATGCCATGTGTTGAAAGGCTCGTGCAGCAAGTGCTGGAGCTGCCAGCCGGGGTGGGGGTGTAGGGGTGGGCATGGAGGCCTCAGGAGGATTACCAGGGGGGAGGCAGACTTGATAACAGCATCCAGAATTGGCCTCGCAAATGATCTCACTGGAGGAGGAAGCTCTCCAAACTGGAGAAGGCAGCTGCCATATCATCAGTGCAAGAGCAGAGCCCAGCTGTCCATGGAGCATCCCACCTGCAGCTTCTCCTCCTTCCAGCACTGAGGGCGAAGGCTTCAAACCTTTGGACCTGTCAGAGCTGTGAAGAAGGGGTAACCCAGCGAGCCTTAAGCTGGTTGTGTGGGGTATCAGATGCAGCTTAAGGAGAGCTGAGTGCCCAGTTGCCAGCGTGGCTGGAGGTCCCCGTGGCACACAGACCTGGCCCCCATGACAGGCTGGTGGGGACATTGCTCTACAGCTTGCACTGATGCTCGGGTCAGACCAAGCTGATATGGCCATTCTGCTGGCCCTGGTGGTAAAGAGTAGCCAGACAGTGATTACCTGCCGGATAATTTGCTGTTTGTTGGATTCCAGGACTACTGTAAAAATTGTTTTCAAGTTAAAAAAAAAAAAAAGTTGAAAGAAGAGAGGATCTTGTTAAATCTTCTGCTATAGTAGCACTTGTTTTATATATTGAAAGTGATGTCATTTATTTAAGCAGAGTATCCAAACCCTGTAATTATAGCTCACAAATGAGAGAAACCAAAAATGATTGTGGACTTGTATCTGGGAAAGCAAGTGCTCTGTGGCCAGGAAGGAGTGAGTGTCTGAGAAATGAGTTGGTTGAGGCAAAGAGGTTTCATCTGGCCTGAGGCTGAGGAGGCCATTCGGGGAGGAATAAGCCAGCAGGTGAAAGGAGCATCACTGCAGCCTCTCTTCACAACCCCAGTTGTAAGATTTGCCTGTTTTCTTCTTTAATTTTTGAAAGTCACTTATCTGAAACAAATTCCCTCTGGGGCTTTGACACATCAGCCTTGAAACTGGAGAGGAGCTTTGCTTTAAATCAGCAAGAAGTGATAAATATAATTTTATTTGCTGTAATTGTTCATTTGTGTTTAGAAGTGAAAACTGAAGGCGCTCTCTTCTCTGTAGGTGCTATATTATTTTTGTGCAGTGTCTGCTGCAGCAGAGCTTTGAGAGCATCATTTGTGATTAATGTGGCATGGAAGGTCCCCAAACGGGGGAGAGGCTGCTGTGAACCTCCCTTGGGATGTACGTCTGTGTAATCAGGGGTTCTTTGTGCTGGAAAGAGAGCAGAATGCCACAAGTGGAAAGCGGCCATGGCAATACATAATCTTGTTTCATGAGAAGTAACTACATACAGGAAGGCCAAGGATGAATCATATAAAAAGTTTTGCACAGCCCTTTGGAACTTCTGCTGGAGAGTTCTCTGGAGGGCACTCTGAATAATCCAGCCTTTTACAGGGGGGCACCCTAAATAGACCTGCCCTTGTTCTGCCAGAGGTTCCCTCATCCCATGAAAAGTTGCTCCTTTATTAAATGCTTTTGTCCTTCCTTCCCTGCAAAGAGTAACTTGCATGGGTTGTTAGTCTTTTGGTGATGGGGAAAGGGCAAACAAAGGTTGGAACTGGAACTCCCAAGTGCTGTGCTGGTTGTGTTGGGATCTTACAGTCGCTTCTCTTTATTTATTTCAGGTAAAGCAGATCATGGAAGAAGCTGTCACCCGGAAATTTGTACATGAAGACAGCAGTCACATCATCGCATTATGTGGTAAATGACAAACTAAAGAGCTAACACTACATAATCTCACTTTTCCTATAGAAATGTGTTTTCTCTGCTGGCAAATGTGTGTGTTGTGATGGTGAAGTGAAGCAGACCATGGGTGGGAGAGTGGGTAAAGGATGGTCCAATGCTGGATTCTCAGTAGAAGTCAGCTCCCAAAGGTTCACACCAAGTACTCCTTTGGAGACTTTGCCACTTCGTTCAGTGCCTGAGAAGGAACAGTTGAATGCTCGTTCAACAGTTCTGAAATCTAGTCCATAATTTACTAGGGCAAATAAAAATTTAACACTATTCATCAGACTTTGGTGTGTAGAGAAACATCACAGCAAGATGCTGCTGAGAATTAAAGCTAGGTACAATTGTAAATATGTATGTTGGCCTCTGAATTCTTGGCTGCTTTCTCTTTGTGCTTCAAGTTGAAGATTTAACTGGGAGCGATGCTGAGAAGGATGATGGCTGTTCTCCAGTCAGAACACTTGATTTCACAGAACGGAGCCTTTGCAGCCAAGCGTACCCAGTCATGTGTTGATGACAGTGGAGAGGATAAGACGAGTAGAAGTTAGATCTGGTTTTGGAGATAAGTGGACTGCGTAGACCAAAAAGTATTGACACGTTACTGAAAGCCAAAGTCAGGGAACAGTAACCTTTTCCTGTGGCAACACTGAAATTCCAACTTGCTGTGCTGTGAGCAGTTATTCCGTATGCAAGGCTAATCTGTCACTCCCCTGCTTGCTGCTCCCCAGTTAGCTCTTACTTACAGCTCAGGAGAATTTATTCATCCCTACGTATTCAGTGCAAGAATGCAAGATTTGGCTACATTTTCTGGCTAATGTTTTATTGCTATTAATAAAGACTGTAGCTGTTTCCTCCATTTAGGTTGTGGTTATGTTAAATATTCCCCTTTTATTTACTGTACATTTGTACTATACAGAGGAGAAAAAGTAACTGAGGAACACGGTCCCAAGCTCGGAGCAGGTGGAGGAGCCCTGAGCCCGTGCCCATGCTGTGGGATGCCAGTTTGATCTGGGGAGCTCCTGGCACCGTGTGTCTCTCCTCTGTCTTTGCAATGACATTCTGTGAGATGTGCTGCAGTGTTGATGTAAGGGGTAGTGGGGCGGCAGCTATTTCTGTTAGAATCTGCTTGGCCAGAATTAGGAATATTGTAACATCTTAATATTTCTCCCTTCCTCCCACTGTGATTGCAGTTGGCTTTGTGTTCTGAATTCTGTAGGGTCTGAAGAACTAATAACTCTCCTTGAGCTGCCTTATTATTGCCCAGTGATCCTACCTATCCCAAGGAAGTATTCCAGCCGGCAGCTGCTGTGAATGTAGGACTTAATTAACTCTAAGCCAGAAGTAGGTGAAGCTGAATGTTCTGCCATCACTTCAGCTAATTGAATGGAGAAACCGTTTCCAGTTGCTTTGGCTAACGGCTCCTGGCTGGGGCTCTCCTGTCTGTGCACTTCTCTTCCCTCCCCCACTACAGTTTCATGTGCCTCTTCAAGAGGTTTTTCCCTTCTATTTAAAATTGGATTGGCTCGGTACATGAGTCACTTTCAGTGATTCTTTGTTATAAATATAGAATTCTTGTGAATCATTTTACTCTCCTGCAAGGCTGGGTTTAGCAAGAGTGTCTTAAATCCATGGTAGTTGATTTTCAGGGCCTGTCTGCATCAGTGCCTGAAAATTTCCTCACTCTCCTAGGTCGTAACTGTTGAAGGTGCCGATTCAGTAGTGTGTGCCACTTTTCCCACAGCCTTAGGTGTCTCTCTGGTACAGCACAGGGGGTTTGTAAGGACCAGAAACCCCAGGGCTGAGATGGCAGAGTCGGTGCTCACTGTTCAGCCCCGTGCTGGACTCTCTGAGCAGAGCTTGGGAGCAGAAGGAAGTTTTTCGTGTAAGGTTGCTGCAGGGCGTTGAGCCTGAATGGGTTTCCCCATAGTCTGGCCCTTGACGTGTGTCTTCCTGGTCGTGGATTCAAATCATAGCGTGCAGTTGGACAAGAGCAGCTCATGGCAGGTAGGGTTAATTGACAAGTCTAGAGGAGCTTATCTGGGATGGAGATACGTTGGCTCCCGATGGGTAGGAGGGCCCTTTCCTGCCCTGAGATCACCCTAGTGAGACCACAGAAAATGTGTGCATTGAGGTAGGAGACACAGTCTTGGTGCTGCCTGTCCAGCCCGCTGAGCGGAGAGGATGAAGCTGTGAGTTCACCATCACAAGCTCCTGAAGGAACTGCCCTTCTCCAGCCCTGGGCCAGCTCCATCCCACCCTTACTGGCCCAGGAGGAATAATGGCTCTGTGCCCATCAGCTCCCCTCATCCAGGGTGAGAGATTTGTTGTAACTACAGCTTACAATCGGGGCTCTTCCCCTGTGTGATCTGAGAGGAGGAAAACAGCGCTGACGTTTCCATCCTCATGGGGAGGCAACGAATGCAGATGTTTTTGTGTTTGTTCTCAACCCAGTTTATAACCTAGTTACATTCTGGTTATTCTTTCTTCCTCTCTGATTTCTAAAAGATGTAGCTCTGTGATTCGGAGCCGTAGCGGTTCAGTTTGGAGTGTGTGCAGTGTGGCTAATGGGTGCCATCTTGGCACAAATTCCAAATTTCTCTCTGGGCTACAGGTTGCTGTCGAGTGAATTTCACCAGCACCGTGTTGTCGATCCAAGCATAATGAAATGACGCAAGCTCTGTGGAAATTCATAGCATCTTTAGTGGACCGGCGTTTCTGTAAGGAAGGGGATGGGGATGTTTTCAGCCCGGGTTATCTGGTGCCGTTTCCGTGGTAACGGTGGCTGACACGGTGTGACGTAGGGACCGCACCGAGCTCAGCCCAGTGCATCGCTGCGGGCCGGGGGGGATGCTGCCTTCTCCTCCTGCATCCTCCCACCACCGCCCCTGAAGTCGTCGTGGCTGGTCGTGCTCTCCCCAGGAATACTCACCCTTCCCCGCTTTTACATTTGGGAGGGAAAGGGGGGAGAAAAAGGAAGCTTTTCTTCTGTCTGTCTCCACAGTTACCAAACGTGTCTTTGCCAGCAGTCAGTGAGAAGGATTTCCACTTTCAGTGCATTACGTTCACTGTGTTTGTCCAAAAACTACCTGCAGCTTTGCTAAGCTTTCCTTTTTCTGCATGGTTGTCTCTCTTTAGATCGGACAGTAACATGCTGCTACAAGCAAAGAATTAAAAACCTGTTTAAATCGGCTTTATACATAATGGAACATGCCTGACTCATTAATGATCTAAGACAAGGTTACCCACATGTTGTTCTTTATGTCTTCAAGGGTGTCTAGCTCACGTCATGAATCTCACAGGACTGATTTTCTCCAAGTGGTCTCCTTTATGTGGCCAGTCAAGATCTTTCATTAACTCACTTTTTAATATTTCTTCTTTTTTCCCCCTTTCATCTAAAAAATTGTACAGAAGGTTTCACAGAAGCTAGAGATGTACCAGATTAGGGTATCCCTTACTCCAGATGTACAGAGCGAGCCAATTCAAACTGCTTAGTGACACTGTCTCATCTTTGAAACCAGCATTTTGATGTTTTTCACGGAGCTGCCTCATTTCCAGTGGATGTGTTTAACATGAGTGCAATGAGCTCCGTTGCCCTGTCTGCTCAGCAGGGACAGGGGACCTGGGGAGCTGGGGCACCCAAGAGCACTTCATAGAGCTGGGGCCTTCAGCAGGGCACAGGCAGGGGCTTCTGCCCCGTTTGCAGTGTCGATGTGCATCCAACAAGGGAAACTTTGGGAAAGGCTTTGCAGGCTCTTCCTTCTCTGCCATTAAGCCCAGTTACGGTATCTGTGGTGGCCAGACGCTGTTCATTGCAGCATCGTGGGTCACTGGGACAGTTATTCAATGCATTTCATGTTTTCCCTGTGTGCTCTGCATGTGGAGCTACAATAACTGCCCCCGGCTGCTCAGGCTCTGCACTCCCTTTGTGTGCATTATTCACGGGAGGAGCAAAAAGAAAAGGGAGCGTGTGGGGAGCCTTCTCCTGGAAAAGACACTTGGAGCAAGTGTATACTTGGTGGCTGATGAATGGGTTATGATGCCAGAAGGACACTGCTCCTGTCATAATAGTAATTAAATGCAGAGTATATTTTTAATGTCTTGTATTAAAAGGTAAATTGATAAGTACACTGAAAACAAACTTTGTCCAGACAGTATCTCCCTCAGTGAAGTTAACGGCGTATTGTTGTGGTTGGTGTAATTATTCCGTAAGTGTAGCAGGGATGCTGACAAATAGAAACTGGGATTGTACAAAGTGTTCGACATTCACTCTGTGTTTGTTTGAAAAGAAATGTGAACTTTGAATTGTCTCGTAATTACATTATTGTTCATAAAGGTTGACTGTGCTTGGCCTGGTTTACAACTTAAAGTATTTTTATATTGTTTGAAATAAGTCTCAGTTGTTTGTTCTCTTTGAGTAAATATTTTGAGTGCATTAAATGAAATAATCCTGAATTCTCATGCTGTAAAATAATTGCCACAGACTTCAGGTGGATCACTGGGAGCTGGGTTGAGCCAGAATCAAAATGTGTGCTGTTTAGCTGTAAATCCAGCATGTCTGCTTGTCAAAGTGAGGGTCAGTACTGCGTTTTGGGGGAAGGTTAGCAGTAAAGATGAGTAAAACTGGTAACTTGGGCATTGTCAAACATGCAGAACTTGGCTTTTCAATGAGGTTTTTATTTGAATTAGGGAAGGGATGGACTGCACGAAAAGGTTTGGGTTTTTTTGGCCTGGATATTAAATCTGCTACCAGTAATTAAACCCATTAATTAAAATGTACAGAATCCCTTTGTGGTTGACATGAAGAGGCCGGTTCTGATTTTTGAGCTGTAGAATGATATTTAATGTTGTGTGTGAGGCTTCCTTTGAACCTTCTTCGAGGACTGCAGGTCTGTGTTGCACGTGTTTGTCCCTTTGGGTGTGAATGGAGAGAGTTGGGGGGTTCTCTCGCTGTCCCTGGACATTGTGCCATGGAC